CTTATTTGATCAGAGTGCTTATTGCAAACAGGTGACGTGTTGCAGGGGCATCTTTTTCAGCTAGGGAGAGAAGAGAAGGTCTGTTTTTCTGGCTGCTTGTCTCAGAGCTTCCTGAGACAGTGAGTTACAACGAAAATCAAGTACTTTGCATTCATGATGTGATTTAAAAAACAAACAAAAATGAAAAAACAGAGGTACTGAGGGTCTGAATACTGAGTGGGAGCAGAGAACAGGATGTAGCTGTCTTTTGGAGCAGAAGTTTTGCTTTCTGGTCAGGAAACATGTTTTGCTCATGGTAGCTTCATGATTCATATGGATCTCAGGGAAACTGGCCTGATCAGAGTAGCATGTGCCACACAATCCTCTTATGTAGTTTCTCTATGAATTATGAATTAAGGAAGCAGGCTAATGAAGTACCATCCCCTGAGAAATACATTGATTCACATTTAATCATCATGTTTTAAAATGTTCTTCACCACTGCTGGCCATAGGTCAGCCAGCTAGCTAAACTAAACCTGGGAGAGCACAAGGCCCTGAAAGAATATAAATCTAAAACAAACAGCAGGATAGGCATGAAAAATAAAGCAAAAGATGAGCCAGTGAATAGCATATGCACTTCATCTTTGTGGTTCAGAAAAGGATTTTTTTTTTTCTACTGGGAAGTGAAGTGCAAATAGAGTTGATTTTGACACTATGTGTTCCTCTGAACCTACAATGAGACAGGAAGGAGGCATATCTCAGGTGTCAAGAAGTTAGGCTTTAAAAGAAAATAATGTACTTATCTGTCTGTACTGAAGGTTTTTAGTGAATTGGAGAGTAAAAGCAAAGAGGAAACAGGTCTGGAAAAGACATAAAATGTTTCACTATTTGTTGAAAAAACATTTCTTGTGTATCACTCAGGAATGATCAATTAAGTCAGAAGAGTTTGTCTATCCCCATTTTGGGGGTCATTCATCACTGAAGAAATACAGTGTAGTGTAAAGTACCTACAGAATTCAGAGATTTGAGATGTCATTATTGAATAAAATTTCATATGAGCTACAAGTGTCAGAACTAGTCTTGAAGGCCTGTACAATTAGTCTGTGGTGGTTTTGCTTCCTTTAGCAGTCAGAGAGGCTGGAGCTACTGTCCATGCCTGGAATATAAGACTCTGACATTTAAGGACAGCAAAGTCTTTCATGAGTTAAACCTGCAAGAGCAGAATACATAGTATGGTTGAAAAGTTCTAAGCTTCACTCTTGTCTCTGCAGAGTCACTGTAGGCAGGTCACCTCTTTTAACCTTGGGAAGGCTATATTCTTGCAACACAGCTTTCTCTTGGCCAGGAGAGTAGTGTGAAAAAATAACTATAAGGGTTAGCTAGTGAATATCTCACCTTGTATCTACATGGTTTGGGGAAAAATCTTTGTAATGGAAGCAGGGTTACATACAGGGTGGATTTTGATTCTGTTGTGTTCCTCTATACATGAACAATGGAAGAAGATGAATAATGCTCAAACATCAAGAGACTTAACTGTGTGTCACCCAGGCTTAAATAACAAATTGAACTAATTTGTGTATGCCAAGATTTTGTAGTGAGTTAGACAGAAAGTAACTCTAGGCTGTTATTCACAAGAACATTAAGAAATTGTGTTTATGCAGCAAGGGACCCTCTCTGAGCAACCATTCCTGTTAGAGCCTTCAGAGCTCCCACACCTCAGCATGGGTAGAAAAAGAGCTGCTCACCTGCTAGTTATACATACGTGAAGCCCCCCAGAACAAGTCCGGAGTTTCTGTGAATCTAGTCCTCATCAGCCACAGCCGCACAGGCAGGGGTAGCATTTGCATTCCTGGAAGAGTCCCTGTTGTCAGTTTTTCCCTTGTATATGGCACATGCCTTTCCAGGGATTCTTTATTACAGACCCTTCCCATGTAAAACATGTCTGATAAACAACTTCTCTTTTTGCAAAATTTCTAATAGTGACTCTCCAAAGCAAACACTGAACCACCAAACACTTGCAATTTGCTGAATTCATGTAAATATTGCACTTCACTCCATTCTTGGCATTACTTTGCCTCCCTATGTCTTTCTGTCGAAACTTCATCGCTGAAATCTTCGTTAATGCACCAAATCCTAGTTAGTCTGAGTTACTCTTTCTGTTGCCAGCCTGAACGCTTTAGTAGAATTAATGGTTTAGGGCAGTACCTCTTACCACTTAAGGATCTTAGCTGTATCTCAGGTAAACATTAAACTCTCTTCAATTCACAGTGACACTGCTCAATAGCACCATCCCAGATGAAAGCGTATGAAATGCTAAACATCTGTTCATTGCACAATGAAAGCTAATTGTCGGCCTACATCGTATTGCTACCTCATCAGCTGGCCAGTTAGCACTACTACTCCAAAGCTCAAGTACTTTCATATGCCAGAAGGTTTAATACCTTGGCTGTTCAGCCACAATAACGTGCGAATCTATTTTGTTGTTACCGGTTTCTGTTTTAAACCAGCACAGGTTATGTGAACACATTTGTGGAAGCGAAAATGTGACTCTATTTCTCATTATATAGCTTGATATTTATTGATTAAATATTGCTTTCGATATTAGTTTTATGCTTGTGCCATATAGAGCACAAGATGCATAGCTAGTGCTTAGGAAGTAGTAAAGGTGGCAGCTGCGGTATGTGTTTTAAGGACTCTAGACCAAATTAATCATTTCTCTTGAGGTTTCTTGCATTTGTGCCCTTTACATAGGGTAGGCTACCCCCTTACGTTTCTGGTATGGCAGGCATAAGTACCTGGTTAAGTGTCTTGTTCTGAAACTCTGAAATTCCTGTATTATCCTATGCAAGGTATGATATCATGTTTAGTGTATTTGGGACAACTTGGGTAGGTAGTTATTTTCTCTATTTTCTCTGCCTCACTTGCTAGGCATGTGTGTGGCTAACTGGAGTACCGCCCGAGCTTCTGTATCAACGGATCTTGGTACAGCTAGCTGCTGTCATCACTGCTGTGCTTCTTCGCTGTCTCTCTGATCTTTCCAGTTCCCCTGACCCGACTGAACCTGTGATGTATAAGCTATTTGGTTTATCCTTTAATTTTACCTAGTAAGCAAAAGCATGATGAATATGCCATATTTGAAGTTAGTTAAGTGAAACTGATAATTTTCTGTGAGAAAGGGGAGGAGGACAAGAGGCAATGGGTGCAATACATTGTCTTGTATTGAAATACAAGACATTTTGTCTAAATATATGGCTTTGTCACTGTGAGGTGGTCAAACACTGGACGAGTTTGCCCAGGGAGGCTGTGGTGCCTCCATCCTTGGAAATACCCAAAACCCAACTGGACGTAGCCCTAAGCCACCTGCTCTAGGTGACCCTACATGAGCAGGGCAGATGCACTGCCAGTCTCAGCTCATCTCTGGTGCTGTGACACTCTCACAACAGCTTGAGCCATGCCAGATTAAGATGCTCAAGCCCATCTGGCTTGACAAGATTTTTCAGGAATTGGTTCATAGTGGATGGGAAAGAAACATAGAATCATAAAATCATTTAAGTTGGAAAAGACCTTTAAGATCATAGAGTCCAACCATTAACCCAGCACTGTCAAGTCCATCAATAAACCATGTCCCAAAGTGCCACACCTATACGACTTTTAAATACCTCCAGGGATGGTGATTCAACCACTTCCCTGGGCAGCGTGGTCCAATGCTTGACAGTCCTTTCGGTGAAGAAATTTTTCCTAATGTCAAACCTAAACCTCCCCTGGCACAACTTGAGGATATTTCCTCTTGTCCTATCGCTTGTTACTTGGGAGAAGAGAAACATGCTAAACAGTAGGGTACGCTGGAACCCAGAAAACGCACAGGGGATTCTTTATGCCTGTGGTGTCATTGCTCCTAATGCTTCTTCCAGTTTTGGGCTGTGTGTTCCCTTGACCTCTCTTTGGCACAGCCTACAGGTCCACCTCATGCAGAGAGTCCTCATCTACTGCTGATGCTTATCCCTGTTCTTTTGCCTTTAGGCCTTCTTTATCTTTTCATTTTTCTTCTACTCGTTTCATGCCCCCTTTCTTCCCCACCACCTCCATACAAAAAAAAAATTGCAACGCACCTGCTGTTTTCCCACTGGCCTTCAAGGATTTATTTCAGCCCAAGGGCATAGGTGCATTTAAAACCTGCTCAAACATTTTTTGAAAATTTGACACAGCCTTCCTGGAAACAGGGTGTCATAAAGTAAGTATTTTCTGGGATTTTCAATATGGAGGGAAATGTGTGACTCATTTAAAAAAGATACCGTTAAAACTTAAACTGCTGCCTGAGTAACCAGCAGTCACCTACAAGACTAGGAGACTTGCTACACATTCTCTACTTGTCTTATGTTATCAGCTGCATTAAATGGATGGGGTAGCCTCAGTGCAGGCAGCTTTGCTGATTTTCATATATTTAATTAGTGTTAAGATTTTTCAAGGTGGTTCTTTCTTTGTATCTAAATCTGGAGGATAAATCTAAGCATCAGTGAACTCAATGGCATAACTCTCACCGACTTAATTGGGATTGGGATTCTTCTCATGTTTGAAATACTTTGAACTTTTTAAAGCCTTTTCTAATAGTCTGTTACTTGGAAAAAGATTTAGATGTTCATGAGAAACGTGGATTTTGGTAAAGCATGATGAATATTTTAGTTACCAGGAGAAAAAGGCTGAAAATTTGAAATCTGTGCACAAATCCAGTTTTATTTCAGTTACCTTCTTCAGAAGCTATACAGAATACATTGGAAACTGGACATTAGCTGAATTAAGTATGATTAGTCTTATTAAAAACCCAAATCTCTGCCCAATCACTTTTGAAAATCATTGTGCATGAAGCATTTTGTTGCTCCTATTTGAAACAAGATCTGACAAATGAAATTATAAAAAACCAAAAAGTAAAAAATGCACAAAACTATCAAAATGGCCTGGAGCATTAAAACCTAAAAGACTTAATTAAAAAAAAAAAAAAAAACACAACAAAGCTGCTGTTAGTTGTATCTAGTGTACTACACATAGGTACAAGTGACTGGAAGCTTAGAAGTTTATATAGTTATTAATTACATTGAGAGCATACATACGTGTAGGCCTATTAGGTAGTGTCAGATGATGTTTAAAAACCCTATTTCTGATATTCTCAGTGTGGTATCAGAAGTGGAATTAAAAGGAGGCTAGAATCAGAAAACAAACTACTTAATTCTGACAGGAGCCTAAGAAAAGGCATCTAACCTCTGAAGTAGTTTATGGCACTAGTTAGCTTAATGTCCCATAATTGGCATTCGCTCGGGGGAACTGCGGGTGGCCTGGACGCTGCCCTAGTGTACTCCTATGTACAAGGTATAGAAATAGAGGTGGCTGTCTGCCTTAGCCATGCAAGTCTTCTGTCCCTGGTTAAACATTCAGCAGGTCTTATGCAAATGCATGGTGGTGCTTCTCAGTTGTTCTCCTGTGGCACTGCTGTCGCCTAAAAGAGAAGAGAAGAGGTTGCTGTTTTAAGGAAAGAGACAGTCACCACCTACTTCATGTTCACAGTGTGGACCTTTATTCCTGGAGTAGCTCAGCACCCTAAAATACTTAGTACATTTATCTTCAGTACTCCTTGCCAGAGTTTTATAGAGGGCACTGTGCACATGACAAAATCACCCTGAGAAAGCCCACGGCAGAAGGGACAGCTGAGGAGTAATTCCTCCTTTGGGCCATCATCTGTCCCCAATACCCTGCTCTACTTTTGACAGAAAGTCCCTGGAAGACAGGCTACAAAAAGAAATCATCTCCCCCAGCAAAATTTTTGGCAGCAGGAACTGATGTGCTGCGACATCCAAGACAAAATCAGTTTTCCCTCAGTGGATTTTCGCATCGGTATTCTCATGATTTGTACCTGAACCGTGTGAATAGTTACTTCCACAGGCAAGTCCTTGGACATACCACACACTATTTTAATTATTAACTTATATTTAGTTATCTAACTTATTACGTAGTTACTGGAGAGTTAGGTTATTGAGACTTCATCATGGACAGAAGCCACTAGGGATTTACTTGTGTATTTTACCCATGGAGAATTTTAAGACAAAGAGGAAGCACTGAATATGCTTTAGATAGGCAGATCTGCTCACTTATAAAAGATACACAAGTATATATTTGTCTCTTCGTATTTTTAACTTATAACTCTCTGTTTTCCTACGTTGTTCCGAAATCTGGTAGGCAGAAGAAAGTTTCATTTTCCAGTCAGCTTTCCAGAAACCCTCACTGAGACCAGAAGGTTTTTGTAGCGTGAAGTCATTTCAGGCAGCTGGATGGCCCAGACTCACTACCACTTTTCCCCTTACCGGAATTCCATTTAGAGGAATTTGTGAAAGAGACCCAATGATTAAGATTTACCTCTCTCCTGGAAGTTAGATCCAGTTTCCCACAGAATGTAAAAGCACTGCCAGAAGGTTACAGATCAAAAGTAGGAAAATAGTCCAAGTCAAAACACCTAGTCTCACTCGTTAACTTACATACTTCAATGAACACTTAAAACAAAAAGAAAGCAAGCAAACACTGAATTCTTGCATTAACTGTCAACATTTTTCCATGTTAATTTCCCTTTAAAATCTGAAGTATAAATTTGAGTTTACTTTCTCAAGGACATTTCAAACTTGACAAGGTCAAAGTTTGTGTTTCAGCTGTTTCGTAAAGTTGTAATCATGTAATGTGACAAGCTTCAAAGAAATAATTTACATGGTACTTGTCAATTACATGACTTGAACTGGATTTAACTAAGGGCTTACTCTGGGAAACTCCTGAGCACTGAATTTCTGGCTTCAGTGAAAGGTGAAAAGTGTTCTGTATCTAACAAAACCAAACAGTCTTTGAACCTCTACGGCTGAACACCAAGAATCTGTCTTTTCTCCCTGTATTAGTTGTTATGTTTCCCAATGCATCAAAGAGCACTAAAAGGAACCCTGTTAAACTCTCCCAGATGTCCTAGCTTGGTCGCCCAGTATGGATCTTAAGATTCCTTTTCTATCCAAATATAATCTTGTGCCACTGCTCAAGAATGCAGACAGCCAACAGCCTACTCTCACCCTCAGAGAAAGTCCTTCTGTGTCAAAGTTTTGATTTTAAAGAATTAAATTAAAGTCATTAAAGTATTCTTTACAGTAAGCTACAAGGTTTGAAACAACTGACTCGAAATGTGATGCTTTTTGGCAGAACAGTTTAGGCAGGAAATGTTACACATGACTTAAGTTGGACAAAACAATGTAGCTGCTTCACAGTTTTCCATTGACTGGGTGGCATTTACCATCATTTGCTGCCTGAAGATGCTTAGCTAGTAGCAAAATTCTTGTTAATCCTCCTCTCTGCTCCGAACTAATCCCTTGCTGATGAAGGGGAGGCAAGCTACAAAGCAGGGAACTCCACATGAGAGAAGTGCCAGTCGAGTAGTATTTGGAAACAGGTTTTATGCTGGTCCTAGACAGGGATGGCCCAGGAAATACTGGCCGTCCTGCCTGTCCTGGGGCACTGGTGCTCTGCCCTGTACAGGCAAGAGGGCAGCCCCTCATGCCCATCCCCTCTGGGCTCAGAGCCTAGGGCCGGGCGGCGAGCATGTTATCTTGTACTTACGCAGAGAGTCCTCTCTCCAAACTGGCTGTAGAAGGTCATCTTGACTTTGTGCTTGTGTCCAGTCCTCTGATCAAAGGTGTTACAGCTGTCAAAGGGCGGGCTGTACAAATGCAGGCTAACAGCAGTCTCTGTGTGGCTTATGTTCTCCACGCGGTGCAGGCCAATGGAGTCTACACCAGCAAGGGCATGAAACAAGAGATTATGCTAGCAGGAAGATTTAATAAGATCCCAGATGCCTGGAAAAATGCTTTCTAAACTGAAACTCATGAAGAAGCCAGATAGGCATGTCCACACTTTCATGGGCAACCAGCAACTCAGTACAGGGATTTTGACCGCTGTTCTCTAGCACAGATTCCTAAACTCACTGGTAATTCAAAACACCTTATAGCCTTCCACACTTCACATAACTTCTGGACTATCTGCTACAGAATAAAGGCCAATAAAAATCCAGAGAAACTTAAGGAAGGCCATGCTGTCAGTAATTTTCTAGCTATTATTCCCAAAGGACATCAAGGTTATTTACTCTCCTAGGAGATGCTGTTGTTACAGATGCTCCAGAAGCAGCAAGGTTTGTATTTCTAAAAAATTAGCAAGGCATTTTACAGATAATTTTTGTATTGCTAATTCTTAACCCAGTAACAAGAATATCAGTCACATTAAAAGTCAGATATGTGTACTTGGAGCATGGACTTATGGACAGAGACACAGTTGTCTTCTATTGCAGGCATCTGTTTTCTAATTAATCCTTTCAGTTTATTAGTTAGGCTTTTCTTTTGTCTGCTCTTTTGACTAAGGTCACAAATTAGTAGTGACTGGCATACTTCCAGCCTTAACTGAATAGTAAGCATAATTGAACACGTAATAAAACAAGGCACTGTCTGTTGTGTGGCTACTAACAAAGTAATGGCACTTTCTGTGACGGTGGAGTAGAAATCAAAGTACTACATAAAAACTTAAGGTATAAAGAAATACATCCACAAAACAAAATATTTCCATTCTACACTAAAGCACAGTTTTTGAGTTACTTAAAAGAGACCTTGAGTCTAAATTTATGACCCTGTTGTAAAAAACAACTCAGGCCTTTGTAGTTGAATTAATACGTTATATAATACCCAAGACTTAGGTTGTGCATAGAGTACTCTCTTAACTATGATACACTTCAAGTGTAAGCCTTAAGTGTC